TAGAAACATACCCCTTCCCTTACAAGAATCTAGCAGGACAAGTGGCCTGCCCTTCTGGAGAAACTCTCCTAGGCTTAATTCCAAAATGATCCTGTGTCCTGATGATGAAGGTTCTTGGATGTCATGAGATGGTTAGCCCAATCCTACCACTGAAATATTGTCACATTTGCCTCAGGGGAAAATTTCTTGCGAGTTTTCTGAGAACACACACACACACACACACACACACACATAAGAGAGCTAGAACTTCTTCAAGTTTATAGGATAGGTTCTGTGCCTATTTGTTAATAAATAACTGTGTGGCAGAATTTGTTCAAACTTTCTTTCATTTTATTGTGGAATCAAGGTGGTTGGGAGTAGCTAACCTTCTACCTTTAACCATTATGGTTACCACATTTACTCGTTTACCCAAAAGAAACTGAGAATTATGCACGATTACATTGTCTTAAGTCAGTTCTCAACAACTAAGTTTGTGCAAAGACCCGCATCTCATTCTAACTGGAACTCTACATGTTCAGATCCCATGGGAATGGCAATGCTGCAAAAGTAACTTGGGCCACCCTTTGATACTAATTGCTCTGCCAGACAAAATGGAGGCATTTTTTTTTTTTTAAATAATCACAGTAAATTTGTACTTAGAAAGATAATTCTGTTAGAATGTGAAGGATAAAATAGAGGGGTATAGAATAAAAGCAAAAAGGTGGTGTAGGAGGCTTGGACAAGGCAGTTGCAATTAAGGGTAAGGAAAAAGTCGATTTTCAAGAGATGTGACTGACTTTAATGACTAATTGGAAATGGCAGGTGAGGAGAAAGTACAGTCAATGAGGTAGAGGAAGATACAAGGAACTGAGGTATAAAATGGAGGATGACAAAGAATGAGTATGGGGGGGTGAGTGTTTGCGGCCTATCTTGGTGGAATAACCAATAGGCTACTAGAAAAAATGATACTGAAACATGAGAATTGGGAGGAGGACATTAGGATTTAAGAGTTATTTGTTCATAAATACAATTAAAGATATAATAATGAATGCAATACAAGAAGTTGGGTGTTGTGGGACTAGAAGTACTAAGGCCTGAATCCAGAGGAAACAATAAAATGTTAAGGTTATGTAGAAAGGGACAAGGAGTGATGTGAACAAACTAAGAGAGCAAAGTGTCCACCTGTTCTATCTTGGGAAAATATCAGAATTCTTTTATATAAGAATCCTTATGATATAGAACTGATATAGTCAGGTAATGCCTATTGTAATGACTTGAAAAGAACTGGCTAAATGTGTCCTGATGGCAGATTCGCCATCTCCCAGTCTGATACAATGGCTGCAATTCTTGGAATTTAGAGTCATTTAGACCTGGGTTCAAATTCTGTCTTTCTAGTTATATGATTCACTTATTATTAGTAAAGTGTCAACACAACACTTGTTATTCAATAACTATTCAATAAAAGGTCAATGAATTTGTTTATCATATTGTCATAGTAGGACATTACTTCAAAATATTAACTAAACTTTTCCCCCTGGTTCTTCTTCACACTTTTTACCTTTCCTTACTTCTAAGATTATTTTATGAATTCCCCTTTTAGGAGAGGTAAATATAATGGCCAAGAATAAAGAAGATATTGCTCAGCTTTGACTTTTAAATTACATTTTTTTAAAGCCAAGACAAGAATCAGAAAAGCCTGGACTTTCTCTTAACAGCCTTCTCTTCTTTGGAAGAAGAAAAGACTTGTGGGAGGGCTAGGAAGCATGGGGATTTGATGATGTCAGAGAAGTTTTCCACCACTGGAAGAGTACATAATTATTTGACCATAAGAGCATGTGTGGAAGGATCTAAGGGGATGTTACTAAGGTTTAGAGTCTGCCTGGGTTTCTGAGAAGGGATCTTCAGGGGCCCAGGGAAGGGAAAGAGATAAGGGAAGTTCTTATGGTTTGAGGCAGAATCTGAGAAGAACAAATATTTGTGTCCTTTTTCTCAGGGAAGATCTTAGGAAGCTATAAGCTTTATAGAAAAGTTCTGCACCCAACATGGGACCTGCATGTTAAAGAGGCAATGAGTTAAGGAAATGATATTGTTTTTTAAAAAATGGGGAGGTAGGTGTGAATGTAGCAGAGTTTATGGTGTTTTAAATACCGGTAAGAATGTCTGAAATTCCCAAAGGAGAAAATTCTGGACAAGTGTTTGAAGCTTGTGACTAGAGGCCATGGCAAGGATCTTGGCCTTTAGTAAGTAGAGCTCAATGTGTCCAAAGAGGAAGTGGTAGTGTCTCAAGTGAGGAAGAGATGGCATATGTACCAGGTGCCTTTCTCCTTTACGAGAAAGCCATATGTGAGTTCCCTAGAAACAGATTTCTTGGGAGAAAAGGGAGGAAGAGAAATGGAATATCCCAATTTTCAATGAAATGTTAACCTATAAGAAGCTGAATTCCAAACCAGAAGTGCCTGTGGTATCTTGGAGTGACAAGATTATTAGTTTTTGCCATCGGTGGGAATGGGAACTTGAGAGCCAAGATGAATGGTTTTAGAGCATTACAGAATTAAAGAAGGTTGTATTTATGTACATCTAACTTTTGTTAAGATATTGGATTTCAACTTGTTACATTATTATTAATATTATTACTGTAGTAAGGTTCTGATGAAACAGTGTTTCTGAGAGTTCATGGGTCAGGAGAGATGCAGCAGGAAACAGGAGTTACGGGCAGGCCCCTGACCACCATTCCAGCAGGAACAGATCTGTTTTAATATAGGGAGGCTGCACATGTGATTCCACTTCCAGTAAGAATTCCTTCCCATAAAATTGTCTGAACAATCACTGCCTTGGCTTTGCTTTTATTTCCCTTTTTAGGGGAATAACTTGTACATTAGTATTACCTAGATGATAATTAATTTCGTTATCTTCATTTTCTTTGGGCCTAATGCATTCACGATGGAATCTTGAGGAAAGCCCTAATAGTTAGATTCCCGATTGTGTTCAACGTGGCCCTAGAGACAGAGTTCTAACAATTCCTAAGGGATTTATTAACTAAATTAGCTTTCTGAGAGAACCTTCTGATCTGTTAGAATACTATTTGTTAGTGTTTGTTTGCTTTATTTTCTTAGTTAAAACATTTTTTTAAAAAAACTAAGGACCCAACAGCTTCAGAACAGCAGTGAAATCCTGTAAAGTTACCCAAGTAACTTGCTGAAGTGTTTACAATTAGCAGGACTTCCCCAAAGAAACTTCGATTCAATGAAAGTTAAACTGCATATGATTCATACTTTTTTCATTATAGTCCACCATTTTCTACATTCAGAAAATGACAGATAAAAACTGCACTGGGAATTGATGGTTTTGGTAAACCAATATATTCATATTCAGAACACAAAATAAACATATTCAAAACAGGGTTAATAGATTGAGACTTGTTTAGGTAATATGCCTTTTCAAATATCATCGACTGTGCTAACTGTGCAAACAATTATCTTTAGATTATATAATCAATATAATCTTTAGATTATTATATAATCTTTAGATTGATCAATCTTTAGATTATATTGAATATACTAAATTTTTAAAAGATAAAAGATAATAGAGACTCAGTATCCAACAAAATAAAATCTTTTGAAGTAGACTTATTTTCAAATCCCATCTTGGCCACTTACAGTAATACTTGTGTTATCTTCTTGAGTAAGTTATTTAACCTCTGGGAGCCTCAGCTGCCTTATCAGTAAAATGGAGATTATAATATTGACCTCAGGATTTTTGTGATGCTTAGCCAGAATGACTATAAGAACGCCTAGCACTTTGCTTGCTTAATATTCATCCAACAATAGCTCTAACAATTACAATTTTCTCATATTTCTTTAAAGCAGCGGCAAAGAAAAATAATAATTTCTATCAATAGGCAAGAAAGTTAGAAACAAAAAATAGGCAAATCAACACTTAAAAGCTAAAAAAAAAGAAAAAAATAGTTTTGCTGCAGCTCAGACTTCACGCTAATGGGGAGGAGAGAAGGGTAAATGCAGAGGAGTGTCGGGCAGGCTGAATAAACGCTTCTCTTCACAAGTCTGACAACCTACAGTTCTGCCTGTGGATTTATTCCAGTGGACCTGGAAACATGGCAACGTGGGCAATTGCTTCATGTTCCTTTCTACCATTTGGTGCAAAACTGCCAATCAATGAGAAAAAAGTTTATAAATATAACCAAGAAACCTTTATCATCTATACTATTCATTATCAGTTTGCATATGCTTCCAATATTACAAGTTTATCTTATGCTTTTTTGAATGATCAAAAAGGAAAAAAAAACAACTTAAGTTCTTTAATGGGTAGCTTAGGGAACTCAAATTCCTCTTAGATTGTACACATAGTCATGGCTGATCAGAAGCAAATAATAAGCATAATTTCCACAAAAAAATTTACTTCTCCAATTCGAGTAAAAGTATTAGATGCATTATTAGAAAAACAATGTGCTTGTGCACTTTCCTATCTGTTGGGCCACACTTGGAATAAAAATTAGGCTATCTAAATATAGCTAAATAAATAAGATTGAAAAGACTGCTGGATGAATTCTAAAATAGTACAGTTTATTATAACTGATCAGTCTAAACAGGAACGAATTGAGATTCACTTCAAACTACTGGGCTAGGGAACACAATTAAAAGAGACACTCCTTACGTATAGAAAAGTAAAGCTGGCCTTTCAGTACTGATTACAAGGTGAGAGAAAATGAACACTCTGATAGCATTGTAATCAGTGTTTGTAATTTGTAAGTGCTATTGGAATACAATTATAAAAAGGGTAGGTGTTACTTTACAATTTTCAGAGGAAAATACCTACAGTATTGGCTCCAAAGCATCATACATACATTTCTGTACAAACGATGAATTTACAAACTGAATATTGAAATATTACAAGAGCTGCTGCCAGTGATTATGCAGGTAAGTTTTCTTTCCCCTTAGTAAAACAAAGGCAGAAAACAAATAAAAATATCCAGAAACAACAATAAAAGAAATAACTCATCTTACCTCCATCCAGCTCTTCAGCTCCGAAATGATTCCTGTAGAAGAGCATGATTTCTATCTTGTAACACTTGTAGATGGTCACCAAACAAACAAGCAGTAAGAGGATAGCACCAAGCCCTCCAGCAAGTTCCACTGTGTACATTAGCTCTAGAAATAAAGAAATCACAACAGGGGATTATATAATATTCACATCCAAAATCATAAATTCAACTAAATTTCACATTTTTCTGGATAAGATCAGATGTGGGTAATGGGTTAACACAACCCCTTCCCTTTTTGCATGAGAATTTGACCTTTTGATAACTTTCTGTTTCCTTGGTAACCAGATATGGTGGTATATGGTAACTATGTTGCTAAGCAACATTGCTTATGGTAAAAATGAAACTTCTCTGGTAGATTGCATTTGGACTGAAAGAATTATAAATACCTGATTGGAAACTATAATATTTAGTTTATCTGAGTGCAGTAACTTTCATATATAAACAAATCCCTTATGGAGATCCTGCAAGCTATGCATATGGGTTGATAAAAGAAATATTGGTTCCTGTGGATATGAAGCTTTTAAGCCAGAATGGCTTTTGCCCTCACCCAATGTGAATCTTGATCCTTCTCACCTGTGCTGTCACCTGGAGGTTAGGGGTCAAGGGAGGTGAGGGGTCAAACAGCAGGGTTCCAGGAGGGCATCCTGGACTGTTGCATAGTTTAGGGAGGCCTAATGAATGCTGTTTGCTGACTCCACCAGAAGCAATGTGTCCTGTACCATATCTTTCTGAATAGAGTGGTGCCAATGTAGTCTACCATAATCTCGTAGGCTGAATGCTTACTTCGACTTAAGAAGTAGGCCTCTATAGCAGATGTCACAATAGAATATGATGGTAGTATTTTTTTTAACATTACACTATTTTTTTCTTTTTTCTTTCCTTCCCCATTTACTAGGCATGTTACTATGTTCTATCCAAAAGAGGAATTTTCTTGACATTCACTGTATACAAGTACTCCTTTTCCTGCTGAATGTCTATATTACATCAAAAATTATCAGGCAGATTTGGGGATAAATTATTTACTTCTTTTTGTTTTCTTTAGGGCTTATGGGCATTGTAATAAAAACAAGGATACTGGTATTTAATAGTAAGCCACCATGCACAAATTTCGAAATTCACTTTAACTAAGCATTGTCCTTGATCATCATAGTCCAAATGTTGTTACTGATGGGTAGCCACTGTTCTTTGCAGTTGACAACTACCTTGAAAATTACTGGTGCTATTGATTCCATAATTTAGAATCCACCAACAGATTATATAATTTCATAGTACAGTTAATGTAAGCTTAGACTGAGAACTTTAAAATAACCCATGGTTTTGCAGTAACAAGTATTTGCAGGTTATGAGATCACTCTTGAGTTCTCACAAATGGGTGAAATCATCATGGGAGCAGTATAGTTTCAGTGATAAATAATCTGAGAAGCATGGCCATAATTTTCTCACAAGAACATTGTGTGTGTGTGTGTGTGTGTGTGTGTGTGTTTGCATGTGATGTCATTTTTCCTGTAATAATTACAGGAAAAAAAACCTCAGTTGTATTTCTCATTATATAGTCCTTCACTTCTAATTCAACAGTTTAATTAAAAACACATATAAATACTGTTTAAACAATTGTATTTTTCTGTACTTATTAAAATTAAATGGGAAATAGAAGAAAATCTTATTAAAAATGGTTGAACTTTATGTTTAAAAAGGGAAAAATAAAGTGAGATATTAAATCTTTTAGAGTCAAGTAAATTAACATAAAATATGAAATACTGAAAAATACTTCCAGTAGCTTTATCTGCTGAACCTTGTGAGGAACCATATAAGACAGTACTATAAAAGCACCAGGAATGAAATATAAAATGCTCTTCCATATAACATTTTCCCCCTATTATGGGAACAGAAGGGATGAGTGAGTGGATAATACCACGAGTGGCACTGGGTCTTGTTCTCTCAGGATATGAGTTAAACTCCACCACGCACAGAATCCTGTGTAAAACTCTATCTTATGTTTATGGGGTGATTTATATACCAGAAAAAATGTGATTTTAAATATGCTGGATATAATGGCAGATGTTAAGAATTTGGATTATGGCTTCTTTTAAGGTTCATTCTGTTTTCTAATATAGTTTATTAAACATTCAGAATTTGCCCCTTTATCATTTCTTGCACAAGAAAAGAAATGGAAAAAAAAATCAAGAACACTTAACTTCTACTCCCAAACATTGCTAGTGAGAGTACATAGTAGTACTACTACATTGGAAAATCTGGGGTAGTTTCTAATAAGGTTAAGTATAAATCTACCCTATGAATAGCAATTCTGCTCCTAGGTATTTACCCAAGAGAAATATAAGCAGTATCTGCAAGAAGACTTGTATGAGAATGTTCAGAGTGGTCTTATTCATAGTATTCACAACTGAAAACAATCCAAATGTCCATTAACTGGAGATGATGAACAGACTATTGTATGTCCATACAATAGAATATACTTAGCAATAAAAAGAATAAACTACTGATACACACAACATTCATGAATCTCACAAATTATGCTAAGTGAAGGAAGTCAGACACGAAATAATACCTACTGTATGATTTTATTCAAATTAAGTTCAAGAATGGGTCAAAATAATCCACAGTGACATAAATCAGAAAATCAATACTTTGAAGATGGGGGAAGAGCAAATTTATTGGAAAGGGGCAAGAGGGAACTTTCTGTGGTAAAGGAAATATTCTGTATCTTGGTTTAAGTGTGGATATACAAGTGTATGCATTTGTTAAAACTCATTGAGCTGAACACTTAAGACTCATTGATTTTATCTTACTTTAATCATAGTTCAATTCTTCAAAATTTTGATTTTTTAAAAAAATCCATTATAAATTCTAATCCAAGGCCTATATGGGGAGAAGCTCTAAAGAAAGCTGGGAGTCAGGATAGCTTCTCTGCTGTAGATAACTGCCCAGGCAGGAAATGATTCTTCTATGGTGCCACCAAGCACATCCTTTCCATCTGGAGGTGCAGCACTGGGCCTAGGCATGTAGCACGCCTCAAGTGCCCATATCTAGTGAAATAGCTTTGGAAGTAATCAAAAACTATGCCTGAAACATAATCCTATCAATCCAATAAACAGAACTCTCATTTTCTCCAGATGGTATTTATAATACTGGTCTCTATATACTTTATTTTAATTTTAGAAACTGAATATGTATAAATTAGAGAAAAAATTGCGTGAAAGTAAGTCCTTCTTATTTTTAGAGAATTGCCCAAATGTGAGTTACTCCCATTGCTAGATGTCATGAGCCATTCAAAAAACACTCTATTTATTTAGCCAATCAATAGTACTGCCTGAAATGTAATAAGAAAATGAGAGCAGGGTAACTTAGCAATTACAGAAACAGTCTTGTGTCACTTGAATAACTCCTTTAAGGTACAAATATATGAAAAGTTATATATGCCTAGAGAATGAGCAATAAGCAAGAATAATTATTCTGAGCCATAGATAGTCATTTACTAATAATAGAAATACCAAAATCTGGTCCAAAGAAACAGCACTTACAAGGAGCTAATTTATCCTGAGATCCTGAGAGCATCTCAGATTTTCCCCCAGATACTTCTGTAGTATTACATGCAGAAGCATGGCACTCTAATCATGTCCTTATGAGGTCAGGATTGCAATGTCTTTTCCCACAGTTCACACACCAGTGCCCAATCCAGTTACTACACTATTTTTATGCAAGAGTATAATATACATGTCTATATATTATAAATGTATGCAGGTTAAAATTGTTTCCATTTGATTTAAGTCAGTCAAATTGGTTTATCTAGCATGTATAAACTCTCTCGAAGAAAATGGTGCATTAGATTTAGTCTCCACATTCTTTTGCTCCAAGCCGGACACATTCATTAATATGAGCACTACCTGTTATTGCTTATCCATTGGGTTAGGACAAAATTACTAGGGGTTAAATTCTGTCACAGTTAAAAGAAATTATTTGGGTCCACTGTGCTGTATTTTATTTTTACATGACAATGTGAATGGTGTTGCCCCAGCAAATGTCATTTTCCCTTTGAAATAGGATCTGCTTTTCAGCTCTAGTTCAAGTTGCCTGGAGTGGCAGCATTTAAAAAATAAAAAGATACCATTTCAGCATAATTCAACATCTGAGGATGGAAAGAGAAAGTGCAGACCTTTTAAAATCTGTTTAGCCTCTGTGTTATTTTGTTAAAATGATAGACTCTGCCCTCTTTAAGGGACTAAGACTGAATATTGAAACTTGTAAAGCAAAACTGCTAGGCAAAACCTAAGGAAAACTGGCATTTGGTTAAACACAACAAATGAACAAGTGCCAAAGAGTTGCATTTAAGGGCACCAGCAGTCATTTAGTTATAGGCAATTAACAATAGTCCTTGGAAAGCTCTAGTATGGGATACCGGAAAACACATTGATTATTGCTGCAGTAGTAGACTGCTTTTGGAATAAATTGTTTCAATTTAAAACTAGATTTGCTACAAGCATTTTGAGCAATGACTACAATTTTTTCTTATCTAGACAGTTGGAGCAAGCAACCCCTTAAAAGAAATAGCTAATTAAAATAAAGCGCATGCCATCTCTTAGTATATTGGATTACACTGCATATAATAAATGCATTTGGTTCACACTAATCTTGCTGCAATTACCTAGTGTAGTATGGGATCCTATATTTTCTTGGCCTGTACCTGGTGTTATTGTTAGCAAACTTTTTCTGCCAGAAATCTTTGAAGAGGTAAAGATTTTAACAATTTAAATAAATGCTCACATGTACTTTTGAACTCTTCATTTGGAGTTTACATTTTGTATCTTTATTTGATCTCCAGGAGTGTGTGTACATATAAAATCTTGTCTAAAGTGTAACTGAAGATTTTAGGTGGCTTATTCTTATATAGTTCTTCCTAAAATTGGTTCATTCACTATCTAAAGTCCTTTGAAATGTTCTGCTCTGATTTATATGCAGTAAAATGCAAGTTTGTGGGGGAAATGCATGATAGACACCTACAATGATCCCAGTTTATTCATTAGCTTCACCAAGTACATTTCTTCTTCTCTCATTGTGTTATAAAGAGCTAAAGTTTATAAGGATTTATCC